GATTCATAAGTAAAAGGTTTTTAAAATTTCGAACGCCTGGCAGGCAGGCTAAAAATGACACGACATGTAAACAATCGAAAACATATTTTGGAAACAATACACAACTGGTCAGCGGGCTTTCCCTATGCACATGCTCTTTGGTGTCGTCCTTTTGACGTCCATTTGAAAGTACTGCAACGGTTGCGAACATGCTAGTTTCTTTGGGGATCAGGAGTCTTGTATTATACTTCTCAACAGCATCAAAGGACATTCAAGGTGTTGTTACTAATTATTTTCGAACTATGAGCCGTCGTTGATCCATCACTTCGCTCTTGAAGTTGGTCGTGAAGAATCGGAGACAGAAGCCTCGTGAGGCGCAACGGTTTTCAAGATGAACTGCACAAAGATAACAAACGCTCTCCAAGAATCAAGACTTTGCTGGAAAAAGCCGATAGTAAGACCAGGTAAGCCGCCCTGATTCGCTTTCTTTCTACAAAATGCAAAAGTCTGAGCTGTTTTAACCACGTTTGATTAAACAGAATTCAGGTCACTCAAGTCCACCTTGTCGGAAGGCTTTGAAGAACGGGTCATTAGATGCTTTTAATTTTATTATCTAATGATAAGGAAATAAGTGACCCTGTATTCTGTAGTTAAGCCAGTGGAGGAGTTAAAAAGCACTTCTTCCATCCCCTCACTCTCCCCTATTTAAAACAGGGAGAATGATAAACAGAATGAAAAAACCTTAAAGCCATTTCAACTAAAGAAGATGGTAAGGATGGTGTGGTCTGGTTATACATTTACACTGTAGATTTCAGTACTTGTTTTGTTTTAAGTAAGGTTTACCTTACCAATGCATTATTTCTCTTGTCTGATAAATAAGTGCAAAATAAATGCATTAAAAATAGAGAAATTTAAAACCCTTTTAACCCTAAGATCAAAATTTGAATGCTCATTTGTTGCCTCTATTCATTTCCTACAGAAGTAGGGGGAAAAAGTTGATAAAATATCAAGCAAATTGTGTGATCATGTCCATAATTCTCATGAACACTCTGTTTTGCAAAGCATTGATATTACAAGGAGAAATTTGATGCTGATCAATCTTAAAGGGGCTGTGTCACGGCAGTCCAGTTCATTTTGTTTAATTTTGCCAATTACTCGCCCTCAATTGCTATGGAACTTGAAGTAAGCAAAGAAATTACATGTAAATGACAAAATCAGAGATCCGAGACAGACAAACATGTCTCCTGAGCATTATTTTTGAAGTTGCAAGTAGCAGGGATCAACTTTGAAAAACTGTTAGGCTGAACAGTTTTCAAAAACCCTAATTTCAATCCGTTTCAATCTTCTTCAGTTTTGCCCATCCATGGCATCTGTTGTTTCTGTTATGTTATTTTAACCTTCCTTTAAAGTTTTAAGCGGTTATTTTATGCTTCTCTTAATTTAACGGGCATTTTTTTAATTTCCTAATTTGGCCGTGAATTTCGTGACACAGCTCCTTTAAGGCTTAAAGGGTTGAAAGAATAATGTGAATTATAATAATAAAGTTATGCATAAAATTAGGAAATAGAATTTTAGGTTGCAGAATTCTGCAGGTGTGATTGAGGTAAGAGGGTCTGTCAGTCAATTTGCTCCCACAATTACTCAGAACTGTGTGTAAATAAACTTGGTGCTCCAAGTCAACCAGTTTTAATTTCAAGGTCAAATGAACCAAAATTTCGACCTTTTTTATTTTAGTTCAATCCTAGTGAAATGTGTTTAATATGAACCAAATAAACATACTATGAAGTTTCAGCTCAATTGAAACAAGTATCTCCGAGATATTCGCAATTAAAAATTGCTATTTTTTGGCCCTTATCTTCGTAGAGTGGTCGGAAAAATTGTCGGAAAAAACAGCTTGTGACGTCAATGTTGGTCAGGTAAAAAAAAGCGGGAAATTCAAAACAGATTTTTTCGAGTCGACTTGACGCAGAAGTGGTTTTTACGGCCATAAACCTGGAAAGAACAGGCAATTTGTCTTCAAAAGTTGCAAGCTGTGGTTATAACCTTCTTATTACCGAAGAATACATCATAGTAAAACAGACTTTAACGACATTTAGTAATTCCCTTGAGTTGTACTGGAAATGTGGGTGCGTAAGTCCGATGTTTTTCAAGATGCATTCACAAAATGTGTTCATATAAGGAAGTTCCTGGATATATAAGGTCCGGAGCTCCACCGTGGACACAAAAACAAAATATCGTTGTATAATAATCTGCCCAAAGAAATTTAAGTTTGCCCACAATGTGTTTGAAGTCACTGAACTTTGTCGCCCTCGAGCTGATATTTTAAAACCAACGCTCGATCGGACACGTCTAGCTTCGCAGATAACTAAAATGTAAACAAAATCCTCAATGTAGAAGTTATTGCGTTGATATGTGGGCAGAAAAAGAGTTAATCTTTATCTAGTAAATCTTCCCCAAGATTGTTTTCAAAGCAACCATAGTTTTTTAACCTTGATCGTTTCGCGCAGATTAATTTTGCTTTGCGTTGTCAAGTTGAACATGCATAACACCTCTTAAAAACGTATGTATGTATGTATGTAAATCTTTATTTAAACACGGGAAATCATCAGTTAAGCTTAAGTTAAAAACTAAAACTAATTACAACTGCTTTACATGATTGCCGTGTGGGAATCCGATATATCAGCTACCTTCTTGATATTTCGCTTAAAATGCTCAACGGATGCAGCGTTTTTTAAGTTTTTGGGCAAGTTATTCCATAACATGGCCCCGCTGTAAGAGAAGCTTCGTTTCAAATAATTGGTGCTTGGTTTGGACAAGGTCAGCCTTCCCTCAGAGTTTCTTAAGTTGTAAGCAGAGTGACGCTGAGAGAAAAGACTTTGCAGATATTCTGGAGCAAGGTCATTCATGGTTTTATACATCATTACAGCTTTTTGTTTCTTTCGTCGAAGAGATAGCCTCTCCCAGCTGAGGGTGGAGAGAAGGTGGTTTGAGCTCGCATCAAAGGGTGATTTAGTAATAACTCTGGCTGCACGATTCTGTAATTTTTGGAGCTTATCACTCAAGTAACCACTCAAACAGTCCCAGACGGGGCTGCAGTAATCAAAATGAGGCATAATTAAAGCGTTATAAATTTGAATTGCAGTTTCTTTGGATATAAAGGGGCGCACACGCTTTAGGGCGCCTATAGCTGAAGAGACTTTCTTGGAAATCTCTTCAACGTGTTTACCCCAAGAGAGTTGAGCATCTATGGTAAGACCCAAGGATTTGGTATGATCAACTCTCTTAATAATTTGGTCATCAATTCTGATTTCTACATCGTCACATTGGGCAGATAGTCTTTGTCTTGATCCAATAATCATTAGCTCTGTTTTAGCAACATTTAGACTGAGCTTGTTAGCTTTCAGCCAACAGCTAAGGTTATTTAATTCAGGGGTTAGAGCTAGCTTAAGCTCTGTTAACGTCTTAGCAGATAACGTAAGGTTGGTGTCGCCGGCAAACATTCTTGGTACGGGCGCCCGCAGGGAGTTGGGAAGATCATTAATGTAAATTAAAAATAGCAAAGGACCCAATATGCTACCCTGCGGCACGCCGCAACTGAGGGTACGAGCAGATGATAGTTTGCCACTGACATTACATCTTTGGGTTCGGCTACTTAAGTACGACGAGAACCATTTTATAGCTGCCTGATCGACACCCAAGTACGACATCTTACGCAAGATAATCTCATGATCAATGGTGTCGAATGCCTTAGTAAGGTCAATAAAGACAACGCCATTTAGAAGGCCATTGTCGATGTTTACTGACCAAGCATTTGTTGCCTCAAGCAAAGCCGTGAGCGTACTATGTAGAGAACGGAACCCTAATTGGCAACCTAGTAGCAATTTATTATCATCTAGATAATGGAAAAGTTGATTATAAACAATTCTTTCAAAAACTTTCGAAATTATAGGGATTACAGATATCGGCCTGTAGTTGTTAGGGTCCGATTTAATGCCCTTTTTAAAAAGTGGAGTCACTTTGGCTGTTTTCCAATCGTTTGGATATATCCCAGTGAGAATAGACTTTGAGAATATTGAGGTAAGAGAGGGTGCGACGATATTAGCAGCCATTTTCAACAATTTACTCGGAATCATATCAAGACCAGTGGCTTTCTTTTCATCAATTTTCGACAAAACGTTAGAAACAATATCAACACTCGGAATTTGCAGAGAAAACGAATGATCAGTGGGCTTTAAATAAGACTCAGGATTAACATCAACAACAGGAATATCTTGTGCTAATACTTGCGCAACGTTTGTAAAGTGATCGTTAATAGTTTCCGCAATGTCCAAAGGGTTACTTGCTGTTTTATCATCTACCTTGATCTCCAAAATATTCGTTGACTTACCACTGTTTTGTGAAGTTAGCTCGTTGATAACATTCCATGTTTTGCGCAAATTACCTTTGTTGGCTTCCAGGTTGTCAGAAACATAGAGTTTTTTTGCGAGTTTAATTGCGTTATTTGCCTGATTTCTTGCACACCTAAATTGATCCCATATAGCCGGGTTATTGGAGGAGATTGCCTTCTTTTTAAGGAAATCTCGTTTTCGGATTTTGCTCAGTAACTCTCTAGTAATCCATGGAGATCGTTTTTTCCGAATTCTTTTGGATTTAAGTGGTGCGTGTTTATCGACGCAGCCAAGAAACATTTCTTTCCATACATGCCACATTTCATTGGGATCAGAATACAAATCAACATTGGCTCAAGGTAGTTGATTGAGGTCACTTAAGAATTTTCCTCTGTTAAAGTGTTTAAATTGTCGTGTTTCAATCACGCGAGGGCCAATACGGCAGTATTGAGTCTTACGTGACAAAAAAAACAAGAGAATGATCACTTATGCCAAGGTGAATGACACCGAATTTGTAATCTTATCTGGGGAGTTCGTTATACATAAATCAATTAATGTTTTTGAGTTCTGGGTGACACGTGTTGGTTCAGTGATTAACTGACTAAGACCATATATATCGAAAATGTTTATCAGATGGGAAGAATTGACTGTAATTGCTTCAGGCAACAAATTGCAGTTGATATCACCGAGTAAATATAATTCCTTATTTTCAGCGTCAATTTTAGCAATAACATTCTCAAATTCGCTAAATAAATTGGGTGGAGAACTTGGGGGTCGATACCAAGTACCGACCAGAAATGGTGTACTTCGTGGCTTACTGATTTCAACAAAAAGAGACTCTAAAAGATCATTATTTAAATCATTACGTATTCGATAGTTCAGATTAGTGCGTACGTATGTACATACTCCACCTCCATTCCTTCCGTTAATTTTACGATCTTTTCTGACTATTTCAAAGCCAGGTATGTAAACTTCGTCATCACGTACTGTAGAGTCTAATTTTGACTCGTTGATATGTAAAATATCAACTTTTGAAGAGGACATAAAAACTCTAAGTTCGTCAATATGAGACAACAGACTATTAATGTTAAGGGATGCTATAGCTAAACCTCAACCAAAGATTGTGGGACAGCTGGACTTACCGCGGTCGGTACCCTTATGGACATCAGCCGAGTCGGATTCCCAGACGGCAATATCCTAGTCTACACGTAAATGGTTAATGAAGTTTTGAGCTAGGCGCGTGGTGCCTTTCTTGTTTAAATGAAGACCACTTCGATTTAAGTGGCTAGTTATTGAAATGTTAGAGTGGTCAACAAAACCCCAGTTCTTTTGCTTGCAGCATTCCTTAAGAACTTTGTTCACGTCAACTTTGTATGCGTAAGTAAGATTTCCTTCAAACAAAGTTTAAGTTACATTATTGCAAAAACTTCTTTCCAATTATGTATAAGATTTAATTACCGATTGAGGTCACTTTAAGGGACCATAGACGACACTTTAAGCTGGCAAAGAGATGCGACAAGCAAAGAACAATTCCATCATGCATAAAATTCAGCTTAAGTGCACTCAAAAAAGCTTCAATGAGGTTGCAAAACAACAAATTTTCATTAAAAAAACCATAAGGCTTATGGCTCTTATACCTGCTGACAAAGAAGAAGAGAATTTTCTGTACGGAAACAACCTACCTAAAGATCTTAAAAGCAAAAGATCAGTTGCAAGCTTCGCAGCCAAGCCATGATTCCGACTACTTAGCTAGATTAGCTACTTTTTTTAGTAATAACTGGTCCATGCGAGGGTCTTCATTCAAGCAAATTAAACTCAGCAAACTGAATCATTACAAAATACAGAAAACTACACACACATTAAGGATTTGTTTTGCTCGCTTCTGTCAAATCCAGCTCCAGCAATGGTTTACGGGCAAAGAGTCGATTGTTTTGGAGTCACTGCCGGCAGTTATCGTTCGCCGCTACTTCACAGCGAGTGAAAGGAAAATTTGCGTACAGAAAGATAACAAAACTATGTTATTAAAACTGAAAAAACGTAAGGAAAAAACTCTGACTATTATTACTTGAGCAACAGAAAAATGATCGAAGTAGCCTTTTCTTCTCGAGTAAGCTTGCTGGCCTTCTAGAGTTCCAAGGAAGTTTTAAGTGCTGAAGTTTGTTCACTCGCAAGCGTTAGCATTACAGTTCTTTGACATAAGACAAGGATAAAGCTGGTTCTGCAAAGGTAAATAAATCTGGGCATGTAAAAAAACTAACTGTAACTACTAATAACAGAATACAAGCGGGTTTTAATTCAGTCCGGCGAAAGAAGGCGAAGAGCTGGACACAAAATCAATTCACGAATCGAATGCACAATTATCAGAAAAATACAAACCTCTTTGGAAATGTTCAAAACGTTTTATTCCTCCTCAGGCTGACAAATGATCTGTTTTTACTATAACATTGGTTGTTCTGGATCCAAAGTAATTTTCAAGTGACGAAAAAACACCTCGTGTATTTCATTCAGTCCCAGTCAGAACTCTCACAGAACGAGACAAACAAACGCAGGCGATAAGGGATGCGCAGAAGCTTGCGCAAAACGTTTTGTCGCCCTGAAAGACCAACATTGACGTCACGTAGTCTCCAGTCTATCATGCGGCCATTTCAGAAACGTTTTCGTGAAGTTTTCGGAAATGCTCGGATTTTGGTCTTTTATCTTTCTATAAAGGCTTGGGAAGAAAAATCTTTACCCAAATCTCACTTAGGGTGGTTCTTTTTAGTGTTTGGTGAAGGTAAAGCGACAAAAGAAAATATGTCAATTTTTTGGTTCATTTGACCTTTAATAACATTTCTCCTATGGCAGAAATAGAAAGGCGGGCATCCTTTTGGTAGTGAACAAGGTTCTGCGGCATTGATCGGAGTGCTAAGAGGACTTCGGGAGGAATTTATCGCTATTGTAGAGGTAGGTGTTTTGGGAATACAATGTTTTTCCTGATATTGTGACACAAAGTACCACAGGAGTGCTACAAACTCAATTGTTCATTGAACTCTAAATGCTTGCGAAGCCCAGATACAAGTGGAAGTCGGACAAAATTGAGATGCAATTTAGCTTTTGTTATGAAGGTATCCCTGGGGGGCCATTCCCGTCACCAGACTACACCAAATCTCACAGAATAATAATGGCTACATAATACTTAATCCATTTTGATTTACAGCTGCAAAATTTCTTGATTTTTGAGAAATACATGTACTAAAATAATCTTCTTGTATCAGGACGTCGACATGCACACTGTAATTACCTCCTCAATTATGTGTGAATGTATTAGACATAATTATGCTGTCATTCTTTTTCCCATAACATGAAGGAAGCTTTATAATTTCAACAAACTATAATTTATACAGTATACCATACATGCATACCTGAAAACTGGAAAGAAGTAATTAAACCAACATTTTTTTGACAATAGTATTGTTATGACCATACTGACTTTTTATGTGTATGCACTGTTTGTTGTGTTTTGATTATTGTTTTTATCATTTCTAAAATTACAACATTTGTTTTTATTGCAGGGGGATGCAGATGTTGACAGGAAAATTCAGGATTTTGTTGTGACTAAAAGAAACATTATTTGCCAGTTTCCTCAGAAGAAGATTGATGCAGTGATAATATTGCTTGGGCGTTTTTATGTATTTAATGTATCATACACCCAATGCAAAGCCATCTTGACTTTTCTAGATCAGGCATTGCTTGAAAGTGGACTGGGGTAGACACTTGTCAATGTTTCCTCCCTTTTTTAATGACTTGGCAAATACCTCAGTTCTTGCTGAATGTAAATTCAGGACAACCTCGTTAGGTGTAGCCAAATTGTCAAAATTTTTTTCATGGAAGTTTTCTTTCACTCTTATAGACCAAGATTTTTTAAACATAATATCTGTGGAGTAAAATATAGTTTAAAACATTTGCCAAGTCATTAAGGGCTGGGCTGGTTTACTAGTAAGATACGGAGTCGGAACTGTAATCAAAAGCATAGAGTGTTGATCTAGATATAACACTAACAGGGTATAATAATTACTCCACTTATGACTCCTTCACTTTTGATCTAGTGAAAACTATAAAGCATGGGAACAAGAATTTTGACTGGTAAGTGGTTTATCCTTCGAAGATTAAACCCCTGCTTAATCTGGTTTTCTACATCATAAGGAGAATCTGAAGAGTAAAAAGTTGTGATGACTCCAATTCCATCAAGCTTCTAGTTATGACTTCCCTTGCAACTCTGATTTTTGATTTTCACAAGGTGATGAGTGCTCTGACTATGACCCTGACTTTGCCACGAGTGAAAACCACCCTTCAAAAGGATTAGGTCAAGTCATTAAAGGCTCGCACTAGCAAGGTAGACAGAGTCGGAGTCATAATCAGAAGCTTGAGAATTGATATAGCTAGAGCATCTTAGTTCATTATTACTCTTACAACTCTTTTGTTTCAATCTAATGTACATTGTCGGAATTGTTAGCAGGAGAGTTATAAAAGAAACCTCAATTGACTCCAATTCTGGTGAGCTTTAGTTAATGAAACCCTTTACAACTCCAATTTTTGATTTTCACTATAGGTTTTAAGTGTTCCTATGATGCTGATTATGATTTTGACTTTGTCTTTTGTGAAAACCGTTTTAAGAAGTAGTTACTTTGATCGCACCAAAGACAAGTGTCTCTCTTGGCCAATTTAATTCCTCCAATAATTCTAAATGTTCAATCTAGAAAAGTTGAGATTAAACGAAGATAATATTACATAAATAGGTTGGAATACGCATTGTTATGATGTACGGAGATCACAGTTACTTATTCAGAACTGAATAAATGTTTGAAATAAGCCTTAGTTTGGTTTCATTATTTATCAGTACCCTAATTAAGGGAAAAAATCTGTAGGCCCCCACCCAAATTAAAAAAACCATAATGGCCCGATATGGGGCTGAATCGACTACTTTTGGAGGGGTAGTTTTTAAGAGGGCCAAAATTTGAGGGGGCTGTTTTGGCTACTGGAAAATCCAAAATGGCCCTAGTGTTTTCCATATTGACCCTTTACATGGTCTAATTTGGCCCCGATGCAAGGGTCAATTTAGCCCCAAATTTTGGTACCAAAACAGTACCATTCTGGACTCACCCCTTTCGGCCCCATTTTTGGGGCCAAATTGGCTCTTTTCATTTTACAGTGCAGGGGTGGATCCAGGATTTTTTTTAGGAGGGGGTGCACTCGTCTCTTGCTCTACTTCAACACCAATAAACCACATAGTTTTCTTTTTTTTTTTGCAGAATACCAGTTGTATTAGAAAACCGCAGGTCATCTCGGGGAAGGGGGGGTGGTGCGCACCCCCTGCACCCTCCCCCTAGATCCGCCCCTGTTTAATAGTAGAAATGTCAAGTGAAAATTAAAAGATACTTTTAGATTATAAATCAGAACGTAACGTAACGAAACATAGCCTAAATAGAGCATGCGTTTTACTGTTTTGAGGAGAAAAGCTGCTTCACGTTAGCCTGTAACAATCAACATTAGCCTCCACTAGTAAACTACACTCCTACAACACGTCAATAGGAAATCCAAAATTCAATGTTTCGGACGCCAGTAGATGACTTTTTTCCCGACTTTTTAAGGGCTCAAAACATGATTCGAGTTATCGAGGGTAAAATTATATAGAAAATGACCTGAAGGGAGACGAAAATTGGTTCGAGTTACCGGGAGTTCGAGTTATCGAGGGTTCGAGTTACCGAGGGTAAAATTACAGTGAATGTATGACGGAAATCCAGGGGAAATCGATTTTGATTCGAGTTAGCGCGAGGTTCGAGTTAGCGAGGGTTCGAGTTATCGGGAGTCGACTGTAGCCGGGAATTGTGGCGCACGCCTGTAATCCAGCTACTTGGAGACTGGGGTCTCTGAACGGCTTGAAGGCGGGATTCCTGGGAGCTGGTGTCCTATGCAGATCGGGTGTCCACGCTAAGTTTGAAGTCAACATGGGGAACACGGGGGAGTCCAAGTTTTTCAGGTTGGTTAAAGAGAAGCGAACCGGCCAAGGGTCGAAACACAGCAGGCAAAAACTCCCGCGTCAAACAGTAGTTGACAGCACCTGTGGCCGTGGATAGGCGGTCGTTCTCAGCCCGTTCGATAAAGTCGAATTCGGCCTTTTCTTTCCTTTCGAAAAGAATCGAAAATTTTTC